TATTATGCATTCCCTCTACAACCATACATAACCTTTAGCTTTAGGCCTTTTCTCATAGGTCACTGGCCTGCTCCCTCCACTCAGGGACTCTCGCAATGCTCAGAGCACACCAAATAAACACAATTCGATTCTTACCCTAATGCAGGGTCTGCTATAAAGTGCCACATACACATTCCCACGTTACAGCCTGCTTGACTGAGAACCCTACCTTTCTTCCGAGCTTGACAGAAAAGTCAGACCACTTCTTAGGACTCCTCCTTCTTAGCAGGGCATCTTCAAACTGACTCTCATTCCTTGGTTTTGGCTTGAACCCAGCTCTCACTAGAAGTAACTCTAAGCTGACAGCTGTTTGTAGAACTGCATAAAAAAATAAGTTCTTCAAAGCTCTTTCCCCACTCAGAGCCACCACTTCTTATCATCTTTTGATCATCCCCTGCAGGGAGTCCACAAGCTGATTGGCTACACAGGGCCATGGTCAGGGTTTCTCAGTGCAGCTGAAACTAATTCTCTCAGGGAGGAGGGAGGCTCATTACAACATACTCGGCCCTGCTGAGCCATTACAACATTGCTAGCATAGAAAGGACAATCAAGGTCAGCCTTCAGCTCCTGCACTTCCCTTTCTTCCTTTCAGCAAGACTAGCACCTACATGAGACACCTTCCTCCCCTCTTCCTCATTCTCTGGCAACAGGAATACAAGTCACAGCAAGCACAGAGTATGGCTCATGCACAAGCAACTGGGCTGTGGTTGTCTAGTGCTGTAGCTTGTTTCACTACAGCCACTTGTAGAGAACAAAGAAGCTGCTTTGCCACTTTACAATGTTTGCTCAGCCCTCGTTCTGCTGGTAGGAACTCACTTCATCGGGCTTGTGCCAAGAGCCCACTCTGTGGTTACAGTGCACTGAATGTTATATCCCCTTCCCAACTCACTAAACTAATGAATTGTATGCAGAATACAATGAGATTTGGAGCTTACTGTGGAAACGGTACCGATTTTAATGTCTAGGCAGATTACCGCAATTTGGGGCCCTTAAGTATGAAAATACAAATCTTAACGGGAAAAAAAAAGAGAAACCTTTTAAATCTTTTTAGTACTGCAGCTCATTTGCTCAGGAGCACAGGCTGCCAGCAGCAATCCAGTGTTGGAACCTGCCTGCTGCACTGACTTCCTTCTGACCATCATGATGGGGACAAGGTACAGATTTCTCCTCCAGTGAGTTAGTGTCACCACTCTCCCTAGAATTGTTTCCCTCTTGGAAACAACATATGTGACCGTACACTTTCACATTCTCAGATCAAAATGCTTCCCCTACTTCAATACAGACTGCTTACAGTAAACACCACAACTACTTGTCTCATTGCAATGAGCCAAGAGTATTGTTTTTGTGTCAGGGACACCTTGATGATCCATTCAGTGGTGTGATGAACAAACCAAAACAAAGACATCCCATAATCAGTCAGACAAGAGAGATTACAGTTGTTATCTGCAGGACCAACCTTTGTCATCAGCCATTTAGATTGGAACAAAAATAATTACATGTTTGACTACCTCTCTGAAGGTAGCAACCACAGAAAAAAAAATCAATCCTGGTGTGTTTGCAGTAACTTGAATCCTCTTGTCCTCTTATTCATTCCTGAGAGGATGACAAATTTCGGTGGAATCAATGCAATAATAGCAGGGCAAGGCTGAGAAGGAGACCTAGCATACCTGCCACAAACAGACCCTACATCCGTGCTCCCTGATGACTGGAGCTCTCATTCACCTCTGCAACATCCCTGCAACTCAGGGGCTCACTTGCACCAGAATAAAGTGCAAGCAAAAATGCCCAATAAAAATGACAAGCTGATAAAGATCAGCTGCAAAGCAGTGGAAATTCAGGACAATTATACTTCTAATAAAGGCAGGGGAGCAATGAGATAAACATCACTGCTTTTAATTTCATAGCATAAATGTGCTGTTCCATAAGCAGAAAGCATTACAAGAACCCTCAACTTGAATCCCTACCAAATGGGCTGTTTTTCAGTGGAATATGTTTAGCTAGCTTGCTAAAGTTTTTAACTTAGGAAATATTTGGAGTAACTCTTAGGAGTGATTTAAGTCAATGACATCCGTTAATGTTACATTGATTTAGTTAACTGTTCCAAAGCAAGCCACAAATAATTAAAGCAATAAGGAACCGTGATGAGATCCTGGCTTAAGAAGGTCGGCTCTGTAATCTAAGATCTGGTCCACAATAAACTCTCTGAATTTGGGGAGAGGGAATTTTGTAAGAATCTTGTAATTATGAAGGGGAATTTGATTTATCCTTCCAAAGGCAAAGTCTTAACTAATCAGAGCAACCTCTATCATAAATTTCTTAGATTCCAGTCACTTCATGCAGGTCTCCAAACAGCTGCTGACTTAGAGTAAGTCCCTGTGAGAACTGTATTCAAATTTGGCAAGAGGTTCATCCATGATCAGACTCCTGATCCATGCTATTACTCTGTGTTCACACATCATAAATCAGAGCTCAGTAATCTGGCTGAGCAGCAAAGTTCTCCCTCTTTATCCTTTTTGTAAGTGTGTACAGCTGTGTACAAGCTCTTTAGCAACAGACAAAACAGGATATAATCACCCTTCTTGCTGGTGATAAGGGGAATTGCTTTTAATGATGCCATTCTGCACATTCGGAATATCCTCTGATTTTTGCTTTTTGGTTTATGCTTTAAAAACAAAAATCAAAACAAAAACCCCTATTAAATATACCTACTCAGTTCAACTACATGTTCAAAATACCTCATTAAATAAAAGCATTTTTTTTTCTGAAGAGCTCTGCTACATATCCAGTGAGCAAAGATAAATGACCATAATCTTTGAATACACAAGAATACACAGAGTAGGTATTTCATAGCTGCACAAAGCCCATAATTGAACTTCTGCCCTCAGGGTAAGCTTTCCTGCAGTGTAAGTGCTTCCAGATGCCATACAAGGGTCATGTTCCTTGTCAGGAAAGCAGAGCTTTAAACTCCAGTTAATTGTTATCCCCAGCTGTGTTTCTTTTTTCCTCCCCATTGAGACTGGCTTTCCAGTAGTCATTCAAGCAAATGTGCTCATTTCCCAGTTCCCCCGCAATTCCCCACCACAGTATAACAAAGTGCAAATTTGGCATGGCTACATTCCAAACTCCATGGTGTTTAAATCATAGCAGCGGTGGAAAAGTATACAGCCTCAATAATCATATGGCAGGACGTGAAGTAGAGGTGACTCAGTGGCAGCCAACCACATGCATGTAAGAGAATGGTTTCTATGTAGAGAGTATTAATTTGAAAGGAACTCATGGGGTTAGACACAAGAAGGCTTTCATGGCTTCCTAGGCAGAAAAGATAATCAGTCTGAATTAAATTGATGACCTCACTTCAGTTCACTATGACTGGGTGTCCACTTCTGCACGCAGCAAGCACAAACAGTGAGTCCCTTCTTCCATCCCTTCATTTGGGCCTCATCTTTGCTGTCAGTCATTGGGGAAAAGGAAAAAAAATAAAAGGCCAAGACTGAGTCTATCACAATGTCCAGATCTCTTCAGCTCATCAGCCGCCTGGGGCTAATGACTGAAGGACAACTTAGGGAAAGTCCACAGGTGAGGTTGCCAAAGTAATTAACCATTAACCACTGTTGATCAAAGGAATTTACACCAACTTGCTCAATTTTCCCAATAGTGACTGTAGAAGAGGCAGCTTCGAGTTCCAGTTGTGCTTTTCAGGAAGTCCTTCAATATTATTAGATATAATCCTACCTGAATAACCTCTACACCCTCTTCTCTTAGGAATTACCTCAGCTTTTTCAGCCAACCAAAGGTCACTTAGTCTTTTCAATAAAGGGAGATTTGGCATTTATAACTACCCACTCCTAATCTCTTTGGTGCTTATTATAAGCATTTGCCTGAAAGGGAAACCCACATTACTCTGTGGGCTTCCTGGTGAAAGCTGTCATGGCCTGGTGACAAAAAAAAAAAAAAAAAAAAAAAAAAAAAAAACAGACATATGGCATAAATATTAAAGGTATGGAATAGCATATTTATAGCCTAGTGAATCCCTGGGCATAAAGTCATATTTTTCTCAGTAAAGTTCACTAGATTTTTGGAAGATTTGAAAAACATTTTTTTAAAAACTTTGGCTTAAAAAAAGAGATCAGGAGGAGAAATATATCACCAACAAAATGTTCCTAAGCTGAACACAACTCTCCTGAGCCTGTCCCAGACCTGAGGGCAAACAGGTTGTGCCAACCCCTCTTCTCTCTGGGGGCTCTTGCCAAGGATTGCATTTGGACCTTCTGCTTTCTTAGCACAGAGAGTTCCTATATACACACTTCCCCCTGCAAGAGGAGGGCAAGGAAAGCCACTTGCCACACTGTGAACTTCCAGGAAATATATCCAAGCAGCATGCTCCTCCCAGTGCTGAGACCTCACCAGTTTCAACAGTTTCTTACTTTTGTCATTAAAATTAACCTTCAGAGACAACAATTAACTATAACCTCATGCATACAAAGGGCCACCTGAGATTGCTAGCCTGGAAAACACTTTCTTATTGTGCTCCTAGATATGTACCCTTTCCCTGGGTGATACCCCAACCCTCTTCCCCATAGCCTGGAGGTGTTTGCTCTCTCAGAAATGAAGGGCAATTGGTTTCTACAGAGAGAGAGGTGACCACATTCCTTCCCTAATTGGGACACAGTAAATTAAAAAGTCCTTCCCCCACCCTGTGCTGCTCATGCAAGATCCTGCATAAAATCCAGCACAGTTTTCCCTGTGATCTGGCACAATATGCTGAACATTTCTAAGACAAGACCAGGACCAGCATTATCTCTGACTACCAGAATATGACATTCGTGAGAAGTGTGTGTGGTGGGGGGGATAAGGAGGAATCACCCTTGCTGTTGATCTGTACTTTGCGCCTCTTATAATGTCTGTAATCAAGCACAGCTCCCACCTGACCCCCCACCCAGTCAGGACTGTTTCATACTCACCATATCATAAACATTCAGAATCACAGGTTCGTTTGCCATTGTTGATTGCAGTGGAGGCTGGATTTAAACCTCGCAGTCCCTGCCAGATGTGCGCCACTGCCCCCAGGATTCGCTTTAACCCTCAGCCGAATAGAAGGAAATACCTCATCCTACAGTCGCAGAAGGAAGGAACATGGAGGGAGGAGGAAAGGGGGATTCTCATGGGAGGGGAGGAGGAGGTAAACTTTGTTGCAAGGAGGCAGAAAGGTTAGGGCTGGGTTTGCTGTTTGTTCGGTGGTGGGGAGGGAAGGGAAGAGAGCTACCCCTTCGTAGCGCAACAGATCCGAGGTTTCTTTCTAACTCTTTAGCACACCGCTGTAACCAGGCACCATCCAGGCTTGTAAATCTCCATCCATAAAAGGCGACCAGACTCCCTGCTCAGCGAGGAGCCCTCTCCTGGCTCTGGGGAGAAGTGGGTGCGTGCGGAGCAGAGGAAAAAAAAAAAAAAAAGGAAAAAAAAATCT